AAAAAATCGAAAGGCATATTTGTTCAATCATTCATTTCTTCTCCAACAGATAGCCCTATGCCTTCTTTGGTGTAGGTGGATTGGGATCTTCATCTCCAGGCAGTTCAGGCCCTTCTTCCTGTAATGGCAGCTTTTGATTCCACCAACTACCTGAAATGGTGTTTGCTGTATTTAGAGGACATGCGCAAGCTACCTGAAACCGCACCATTCATCTTTGCAGAATTTAAGGCAGGCAAATTTGTGGTAAAGCGAACCCCTGGAAGGTTCAATGCAGTTGGGGCTGATATGGCCTTGGAACAAACCATAAATAGATCCCAAAAGAGTGCCTCTAGTATAATTAGCAACATCCGGAAGAAGAAGCTCGTAGCAATGTGGGAGCTGATCTACCATGAAATGCTGGCCCTCGACAATTTGCACAGGGACTTGTGTGGTGTGACCAAAAACCTGTCCGAGGAAAGTGCTATCAGCAAAGCTAAGATAGCAACGGGGGAGCAAAAGGTTCAAGACATACTTACAACAATACAACGGAATGAGAATCTGTTCCAGTTGACTCCTGACCAAGTGAAACTTCATAACATTTTGACCCAAGAAGACATGTCTGAAGATATCAGAAGCCAGCTACTTTTGGTCAAAGAAATCGGAACCAAAGCCTATGACACACTTAGAAAGGAGCGATTTATTGACAAGTTAATGAGATTCTCCTCAACCATCCATAGAACCAACCTGAAGACGTTTCTCAGCATCCATAGGCCAGAAAAAGAAGTCAAAGGAAAATCCTCAGGAAAAAAAGGAAGAATCCCATATGAAAAGATTGATTGAGATAGCGCGTGCCCGTGGACAAACAAGGGAAGAGCTGTTGCAATATGATGTGTCCCCTTTGTCCTATTTGTTTGATCAAGAAGGGCTGATGACCAAACCTGTGAAAAGTGCACTGGTACAGGAACTAGAACCCAAACTTACAAAGGATGATGGGAGAGAGCCGGCAAAGGACTCTAAAATGCAAACAGCATGTTTAGTTGATGTGATGGCCAATGTTAGAAAGCTAAAAACAAAAGACCTACGGATATTCGGAGACTTCTGTGAACATTTTCTGGACTACGTCGCTGCAATCGGTCGAGGGGCTGACAGATCAAACTTGATCTTTGATTCCTATGTTGAAGGATCCATCAAAGATTCAGCGAGAAAGCGGCGTTAAGTTAAAGCACCCATTGAGATAAATATCATCAACTGCGACACACCACTGCCTGTGGAGATGGACAGATTTTGGGCATCAAGCGAAAATAAGTTGAAGCTCCAGATGCTTCTTCATGAGCACACAATAAAGCGCAGGATGGAGCAACCTTCCAAACTCCAAGTTGTAGCCAGTGGCTTTTCTGGGGACTCAGACGTTGTTGTCTGCCAGTCAGTTCAGGATGGTTGTTTGAGAGGGAGAGAGAGTGAGAGAGAGCGAGAGCGAAAGCGAGAGAGAGAGAGAGAGAGAGAGCGAGAAAGAGAGAGCGAGAGAGAGAGAGAGAGAGAGAGAGAGAAAGAGAGAGCGAGAGCGATACAGAGTGAGAGGGAGAGAGAGAGCGCTGGTTAGTGCGATACGGCGTCATCGGCAGAAGATATTGCGCGCGAGCGTTAGGAATGCTTGTTGACGCGGCGCAAACAGTTCGGCCTTTGATTTCAACCGCTCATCTAGCGCGCGGGCCTATTTCCGGAGAGAGAAACAAGGAGAATGGCAGGGGAGGGAAGGAGGGAGTAGAGGAAGGGAAGAGGGAATGCGATTAGATGGTAGCAGAGGAATAAAGAAGGGTATAGACAAGGAACAGGTGGAGGGGAGGCCATGAGGGAGAAAGGTGGGGAGGAGAAGCGGATGCGAGAAGGTTAGGTGGAGCAAAGAACAGTGCCGATGGGCGCTGTGCAATATGGAACGAGGAGGAGGATAGAGAAGGAGATCCCGTCTTCTTCGGTAATGAAGAACCTTGGCGGGGGGGGGGGGTAATGAAGCGCTGCCATTGATGTAGCCTTCTATATTTGTCTTTGTTTTTTTGCAGGCGTGAATCACAGGCACTTGAAGCGTTTCAATAAAATACAATGCTAAATAAATACGAAATTTATTTACTACCAAAGTCTCAATGTTTCTCTACTCTCCTTCACCTATTATACCTTACTCCTATTACACCTTACTCTTCTTCACCTCCTTCACCAAACACAAGCCAAACCGCACGCACGCTGCTGCGTATAGCTCTAGTACCATAGCCCGCGTACAGTTGCCGCTAGCAGCTGCTGCGCTGCTGCACGCTGCACACTTAC